TCAAAAACTAACTCAGAACCGCACAGATTCATGGAAACAGAACAACTGGCCCTTGAATGTTGACTGGATAAACAATGAAATGAAGGCAGAAATAAAGATGTTCTTTGAAAACAATGAGAATGAAGACACAACATACCAGAATCTCTGGGACACATTTAAAGCAGTCTCTAGAGGAAAATATATGCCCACATGAGAAGCAAGGAAAGATCTAAAATTGACACCCTATCTTCATAATTGAAAGAGCTAGAGGAGCAAGATCAAAATAACTCAAAACCTAGCAGAAGACAAGAAATAGCGCAGATCAGAGCATAACTGAAGGAGACAGAGACACAAAAAAACTCTTCAAAAGAATCAATAAATCCAGGAGTTGGTTTATCGAAAAGATCAACAAAATAGAACACCAGTCAGATTAATAAAAAAGACAGAATAATCAAATAGATGCAATAAAAAATGATCAAGGGGATATCACCACAGATTCCACAGAAATTCAAACCATCATCAGAGATTATTACAAACAACTCTATGCACATAAACTAGTACACCTGGAAGAAAGGGATAAATTCATGGACACTTGCATCCTCCCAAGCCTAAACCAGGAAGAAGTTGAAACCCTCAATAGACCAATAACAATGTCTGAAGTTGAGGCAGCAATTAAGAGCCTACCACCCAAGAAAAGCCCAGGTCCAGATGGGTTCACAGCCGAATTCTACCAGACGTACAAAGAGGAGCCGGTACCGTTCCTTCTGTAACTATTACAAACAATACAAAAAGAGGGAATCTTTCCCAAATCATGTTATGAGACCAACATCATCCTGATACCAAAACCCGGCAGAGACTCAGCAAGAAAAGAAAACCTCAGGTCAATATCCATGATGAACATAGACACAAAAATCTTCAATAAAATACTGGCAAACCGATTGCAACAGCACATCAAAAAGCTTACCCACTATGATCAAGTAGGCTTCATCCCGGGGATACAAGGCTGGTTCAGCATACACAAGTCTATAAACATAATTCACCACATAAACAGAACCAAAGACAAAAACCACATGATTATCTCATTAGATGCAGAGAAGGTCTGTGCCATAATTCTTACAGCTCTTTATGCTAAAAACCCTCAATAAACTAGGTATTGATGGAATGTATCTCAAAATAATAAAAGCTATTTATGACAAACTAACAGCCAATATCATACTGAATGGGCAAAAACTGGAAGCATTCCCTTTGAAATCTGGCACAAGACAAGGATGCCCTCTCTCACCACTCCTATTCAATATAGAACTGGAAGTTCTAGCCAGAGCAGTCAGGCAAGAAAAAGAAATAAAGGGTGTTCGATTAGGAAAGGAGGAAGTCAAATTGTCTCTATTTGCAGATGACATGATTGTATATTTAGAAGACCCCACTGTCTCAGCCCAGAATCTCCTGAAACTGATAAGCAACTTCAGCAAAGTGTCAGGATACAAAATCAATGTGCAAAAATCACAGACATTTCTATACACCAATAGCAGACTTAAAGAGAGCCAAATCAAGAACCAACTGCCATTCACAATTGCTACAAAGAGAATAAAATATCTAGGAATACAACTAACAAAGGAGGTAAAGGACCTCTTCAAGGAGAACTACAAACCACTGCTCAACAAAATAAGAGAGGACACAAACAGATGGAGAAACATTCCATGCTCATGGTTAGGAAGAATCAGTATCATGAAAATGGCCATACTGCCCAAAGTAATTTACAGTTTCAGCGCTACCCCAATCAAGCTACCAATGACTTTCTTCACAGAACTGAAAAAAAACACCTTAAACTTCATATGGAACCAAAAGAGAGCCCACATAGCTAAGTCGATTCTAAGCAAAAAGAACAAAGCTGGGGGCATCACACTACCAGACTTCAAACTATACTACAAGGCTACAGTAATCAAAACAGCGTGGTACAGGTACCAAAACAGAGATATAGACCGATGAAACAGAACAGAGGCCTCAGAGACAACACCACACATCTACAACCATCTGATCTTCGACAAACCTGACAAAAACAAGCAATGGGGAAAGGATTCCCTATTTAATAAATGGTGTTGGGAAAACTGGCTAGCCATATGCAGAAAGCAGAAACTGGACCCCTTCCTGACACCTTACACTAAAATTAACTCCAGATAGATTAAAGACTTAAACATAAGACCTAACACCATAAAAACCCTAGAAGAAAATCTAGGCAAAACCATTCAGGACATAGGCGTAGGCAAGGACTTCACGACCAAAACACCAAAAGCATTGGGAACAAAAGCCAAAATAAACAAGTGGGACCTAATCAAACTCCACAGCTTCTGCACAGCAAAAGAAACAGTCATTAGAGTGAATCGGCAACCAACAGAATGGGAAAAAAGTTTTGCAATCTACCCATCTGACAAAGGGCTAATATCCAGAAGTAAAACAGATATACAAGAAAAAAACAAGCCCATTCAAAAGTGGGCCAAGGATATGAACAGATACTTTACAAAAGACATATATGAGGCCAACAAACATATGAAAAAAATGCTCATCGTCACCAGTCATTAGAGAAATGCAAATCAAAACTACATTGAGATACCATCTCATGCCGGTTAGAATGGCCATCACCAAAAAATCTGGAGACAACAGATGCTGGAGAGGATGTGGAGAAATAGGAACACTTTTACACTGTTGGTGGGAGTGTAAATTAGTTCAACCATTGTGGGAGACAGTGTGGTGATTCCTCAAGGACCTAGAAATAGAAATTCCATTGGACCCAGCAATCCCATCACTGGGTTTATATCCAAAGGATTATAAATCATTCTACTGTAAGGACACATGCACACGAATGTTCATTGCAGCACTGTTCACAATAGCAACGACCTGGAATGCCCATCGATGATAGACTAGACAGGGAAAATGTGGCACATATACACCATGGAATACTATGCAGCCATAAAAAACGATGAGTTCGTGTCCTTTGTAGGGACATGGATGAACCTGGAAACCATCATTCTCAGCAAACTGACACAAGAACAGAAAATCAAACACCACATGTTCTCACTCATAGGTGGGTGTTGAACAATGAGAACACATGGACACAGGGAGGGGAGCATCACACACTGGGGTCTGTCGGGGGGAAACGGGAGGGACAGTGGGGATAGGGAGTTGGGGAGAGATAGCATGGGGAGAAATGACAGATATAGGTGATGGGGAGGAAGGCAGCAAAGCACACTGCCATGTGTGTACCTATGCAACAATCTTGCATGTTCTTCACATGTACCCCAAAACCTAAAATGCAATAAAAATAAAAAAATAAAATAAAAATACGTTTTTACATTGTGAACCAATGCTTATGCAAACACACAGCCGCTCACATGCAAGCATGAACTAAGATGAATGAAATACTTCCCTACTGTGCACATTGCATCCTGATATTCTGTTCTGTTCCCATTTCTTTTTAAATATTTTTGGTTGCAACTCACCAAACTGATCTGATTTTATGACAAACAAGTTCTAAGGCAAAGTTTAAACAAGTCCAAACAAGTTCTAAGGCAAAGTTTAAAAAACACTGAGGAGACTGTGTTGGTCAAGGAGCTGTATCTTTTTTTTTTTTTTTAATTGGCTATGAAAGTCTCCCCAGTCATGAAGGGAGGAAGTAGTTAATGAGGAGTGGGCACTGAGCTGAGGGTTTGGGTCCATGGTGAGACTGCCCCTTGAAGCTCAGAGAAGCCACAGTGGGCTCAGGAGCTCCTGTATCTTCACCAGAAACCAGCTCTGCCCTCCACGTGGGTTGGAGCTTCACATTGGGCACACTGTCTCAGGCTCTGGAGTTCACGATAAGTTTCCAGAGCATTTACGAGTCTGGGTTCAGGTATCCTGGGTGCTCCATGCTCAGCTCTGGTCAGCCAGCACTTTGGTCACATTAATTGCTGCATCCCAAACCCCTAACACAGGGCCTGGCATGAAGCAGGTGCACGAGCACGGCCACTGTTGTTTCTATTGGAAACATCATGCATGCGCCATAGGCCTGATATGGTTTGGCTGTGTCGTCTCCTAAATCTCACCTTGAATGTAAATCCCCACATGTCAAGGACAGGCCAGGTAGAGATAACTGAATCATGGGTGCAGTTGCCCCCATAATCTCATGGTAGTGAATAAGTCTCATGAGATCTGATGGATTTATAAAGAGCAGTTCCCCTGCACAAGCTCTCTTGCCTGCTACCCTGTAAGACCTGACTTTGCTCCTCATTTGCCTTCTGCCAGGATTGTCAGGCCCCCCCAGCTATGTGGAACTGTGAGTCAATTAATCCTCTTTCCTTTATAAATTACCCAGTCTCAGTTATGTCTTTATTAGCAGCATGAGAACTAATACAAGGCCCCTCTCCCAGCATCCACCCAGTCCCAGCTCACCCAGGCAATTAAGTTGTTAAGGGAGCTGCTGAGTGGGGGTGTCTGTGCCTCATGGGAGGCAAGAAAGAAGTGGCATGGAGCTCAATGTCATAGTAAAGCAAACTTTTTCTTCTATTAGCATAAGGAAGTTCTCGAAGCAGAAAAAAAGTAGACAAAGCATAAGTCAGTTCCATCAGCCTAAACATGTCTCATGGAGCGCAGAAAAGGGGAAGAACAAGCTCCAAACTCATGGCCAACACATCCATCTCTCAATCGCTGAGTCCCAGAGGGATTTGCTTCTAGTAGGAAATCATTTCATTGACTACTTCCCATGCCACCCAATGAAGGTAGATGAGGGCGGGATCCCAGGGCAGGAGAGCACAGACTATGGAATCAGGCATGCTGGGCTGAATTCCAGCTTCTCTCAGGCTGACCTTCGGCAATTTTATTTCACTGGTCTGGGCCTCTATCTACATCTATAAAACGGAGGTAATTCCGCTATGGTGCAGGGTTGCTGGAGGAATAAACGGAAACCATCCTGCATTGTGCCTTGCACATAGTCAATGGTGCTGAGTGAACAGTCACTGCTGTTATTACTCTGACAAACGCTGGGATCTTACCAAATCTCTGTTATGCCAGTGTTGTTCTGTAACGCATCTGCCAGCTGGGCAGTCCCCTTAGCTGTGATCTGATTCTGGATAAGCCTGAAAGAAGAACATAACTTGTATAAAAACCATAATACTGGATCAAATCTGATGTGTGTGTCTTCATTTTTCTTTGCAGAGGCGCGTAATCAAAAGATCTGGGAGACCACCAATCTGAACAACAAATCCTAAGAAACACATCATCATGGGAATGGGAAGTCTGGCATCTCCTTCCAGGTAGCTAGGGAAAGGCAAGGCAGGTTTGAAAGTCAAGAGGCTACCAGCATGCAAGAGGGAGGGGGAGAAACAGTTCTGCTGCCATGAAACAGTTCTCATGGGGCTCAGTGGAAAAGCTTTGACAATGGGGCCTCTGAGAATGTACCCCATTGTTCTAGGTGGCAGTGATCCAAATGAAACAAAGGTTTCAGAAATCAGTAGGAAGCCAGGCCTCTGCTGAAATGCTCCCCTGGGCAGCTATGCTTCTAACCCAACCAGGAAATAAATGCATCAAGAGGCTGTGGTGTCTCCACTTCATCACAGAGACATTCCCTGCTCCTGGCTGTTTGTAGAATAGGCTCCTGCTAAACCTGACCCTTAGAAATCCTGGCACTGATCCAAGAAGAAAGACCTTACCAGGAAGACAAGGGCCCTATGCTGTCATAAGTGGAAGAGGACTCCCTCTTGAGAGGCAGCATCGCAGAGCAGTTGCAGCTCCTCTTAAACCCTCCCCTCCCCACTTTTCAGCTACAGAACTTTGAAGAAATCTACATATCTGTCTGTGCCTCAGTTGTTTCATCTTTAAAATGAGAATAACTATAAGAGTGCCCCCTCATCCACTGGGTGTGTGAGATTTCAAGAGGTGGGTGTGTATTAGGCACAGTGTCCAGGGAAGGGAACTCCTGTCACTGTTACTGCCCATGCAAACAGGACCACTCGTGGTATTCCCAGCCACACCTCACAAGGGCTAGGGCCCCTGGGTTCTGTGGCAGAGGTGATGACCTTCCCTTTCAAAAGGGACAAAAATAGAACCTGGTAGTGGCCACTGAGTTCTGCAGTCAGTCCCACTCTGCTGTTTTCTAGTCCACCTAGGCTTTGTTGAAGGCAGGGAAGGCAGCCTCCAACCAAGACTTGGCAGGAGGCCAGGAAGGAGAGCACCTAATGCCCCAAAAAGCTGAGCAGTATCCAGGCACATCCACCCACTACAGCTGCCTTCATTAGGCTGGTGCAGGTTGGGAAAGCACAAAGCAGCGGAGACTCTCTAGCTGGCCCCGTCCTAGCTCTACTCTCCCTGGAGGGGCTGGCCTGCACTTAGGGAATGGGATAAAATAATTCTGCAGGCTAACACCCAATCAAAAACAACATGTAGCACAGTCTAGTCTTTTTGCTGAAACTGACAAGGCGAGTCTGAATTCATAATAAATGCAAAGAACCCAGAATGGCCAAAACAATCTTGAGAAAGAAGAACAAAGTAGGAAAACTCACACTTTCTGATTTCAAAACATACTACAAAGCTACAGCAATGGTCCTGGCAGAGGAGAGACATATAAATCAGTGGACCAGAACAGAGAATTCAGAAATAAACCCGTACATTAATGGTCAATTGATTTTTGACAAGGGTGTCAAGGCCATTCAATAGAAAAAGATAATCTGTTCAACACATGGTGCTCTGGTACAGCTGGATAGCCACGTGCAAGAGAACGAGGTTAACTCCCACTTTATACAAAAATTAACTCGAAATGGATTGCAGACCTAACTGTGAGGGCAAACAACTATAACATCAGAAAACTTAGGTGGAGATCTTTGTGATCTTGGATTAGGCAATTATTTCTTAGACAAGACACTGAAAGCACAAGCAACCAAAGAAAAAAAGAGATAAATTGGACTTCATCAAAATTAAAAACTACTGGCCAAGTGCAGTGGTTCACGCCTGTAATCCCAGCACTTGGGGAGGCCAAGGCAGGCAGATCACCTGGGGTCAGGAGTTCGAGATCAGCCTGGCCTACATGGTGAAACCCTGTATCTACTAAAAATACAAAATGAGTCAGGGGTGGTGGCTCATGCCTGTAATCGCAGCTATTTAGGAGGCTAAGGCAGAAGAATCACTTGAACCCGGAAAGTGGAGGTTGCAGAGAACTGAGATCATGCCATTGCACTCCAGCCTAGGTGACAAAAGGAGGACTTCATCTCAAAAAAAAAAAAAAAAAAAAAAAAATTAAAAAATTTTGTCCTTCAAAGGCCAATATCAAGAAAGAAGGAAAACTCTACAGAAACAAAGAAAATATTTGCAAAACCTGTATCTAGCAAAGGTCTAGCACCCAGGATCCACAGAGAACCCCTACAACTTAGCAATAAAAAGACATATAAGTCCAATTTTAAAATGGGCAAAGAATACGAAGACATTTCTCCAAAGAAGCTATACAGACAGCCAGTAGGCACATAAAAATACACTCAACATTGTTAGTTATCAGGGAAATGCAAATCAAAACCACAATATTACTTCACACCTACTAGTATAACTAGATTTAAAAAGATGGACAATAACAAGTGTTGGTAAGGGTGTGGAGAAATTGTAACCCACATACATTGCTAGTGAGACTCTAAAATAGGACATCCACTTTAGAAAACAGTTTGATGGCTCCTCAGAAAGTTACAGAATTCCCATATGACCCAGCAATTCTATTCCCAGGTATATTCTCAAAAGAGATGAAAACATATGTTCACCCAAAAGCATGTATAGAAGTGCTCACAGTAGCATTATGCGTAATAGTGAAAAAGTAGAAACAACCCAAATGTCCCATCAACGGATTAGTAAACTGTGAAATAGCCTTAGAGTGAATTATCATTTAGCCATAAAAAGGAATGAAACATGCTAGAACACAGAGACAAAAGGTCACATATTGCTTGATTCCATTTATATGAAATGCCCAGAGTAGGCAAATCCATAGAGACAGAAAGTGGATTAGCAGTTGCTGGGGTCTGGGAAGGAGGATAGGGAGTGACTGTTTAATGGATACAGGGGCTTTTTGGAGTGGGGAGGGGTAGTGAAAACATTCGAGAACTAGATGGTGATGGTTGCACTAAAAACCTCTGAATTGTACACTTGAAGAGAGTGAATTTTACAGTATGTAAATCTTATCTCAAAAAATACTTTGGAAAAGTAGCACAGTGTGAAATTCTAAGGCTGAGTTACCTACCATAAATGCTTTAACGTCTGGTTGACTTTCAACATTTCTGCCAAACTCTCTGCCACTTCATCGTTGAGTTCATTTTGGGTCAGCCTAGGGGAGAAAAAAAAAAAAAAAAAGGAAGTATTTACTCAAGAGAGCCTACTTGGCAGACACTGTTTTAGAGTTCACAGGAGTGGGAGCCCAGCCCAAGGCTTTCCAGCTATGTAGCTGATCAGTTGCTGGAACTCAAGCCCAGCCTCTCAGCCCTACAGATCAATGGGACTCATTTCTAATGCAAATCCTGCACCAGAGCCCCTATTTCTTAGCCTGGCTGCCTGCAGAGGAAGCCACCCTACCTCTCCACCTTTGCTGAGCCCTCAGATTTCATGGAAGATCGGGCGCCACAGAAAACAAAGGGCCAATGGCCTGCTTCTCGGGTCTCCTCTAGTCTCAGGATCCCTTGAAGACCACTGACAGTGTGTTATTCAAGTCAGTTTGAAGACCTGAAACAGCCACTGACTGCACATTAAGATGTGGTCAGTACTTTGCTCTGAGTTAGCTGGTGAGGGACCCAAGGTAAGTGACTGAAAGTTCAGGAAGGCTCTCAATGGTTCTTAAAACCAGAAGTGGTCTGGATAAAGCACCAAAGCTTCTCAGTGTAAATAGGGTAGGACCCACTTGTGCCAGTGGATGAAAGAATCATTAGGAAGAAGAATAGAACGGAAAGAATATTTTTAAAAAAATCATTCCCTGAAGGGCAGTTTGGATGTGCCTGTCCAAAATTTAAATGTGTTTCACTTTAACACAATTAGGCTTCTAGAAATTAACGTTACAGTGTGCAAAAGTATACACGCAAAGCTTTACACATTGCAGCATACACTGTGGTATTATCTATCCTAATGTAAAATCTGAACGAGTTTAAATCGGAAAAAACTGATGAAATACATTGTAACATCCATTCAGTGTTTCGTTGTGCAGCTCTTAGGGAGAATGAGGTAGAATGAGGAGGGAGAAGGGCACAGCATTGACACCTTCTCCGGACTCAGCCTGGGCAGGTTTGTATCACTCACGAGCAAGGTGATCTCCGGCAAGGGGCTTAAGTTCTTTGGGTCTGAGTTCCCTCACTGGTGAATGTGAATATTACTAATATAGATTGTATAGGGTGGTTGTGAGGCTGAGCGAGTTAAAAGGTATAGAATAACACATGGCATGCAGTTAGCACTTGAGGGCTTCTAGGTGTTGACACGACTGCTGTCTGTGTGATTTCAATCTCCATGGGGTACCTAGCCATGTCCAGAGGCATTTTTGATCCTCGCCACCGGGAGGTACAGGGCAGAGATGCTCCTAAACCTTCTACGATGGACAGGATTGCCCTCCCATAACAAAGAATCACTTGGACCGAAATGATTCTCAATCAACAGCGTCAAGCCTGAGAAACCCTAAAAGGGACATGTAAGTTATGTGCAATCTGTGATTAAGATATTTTTTAGGGCCACTTGTTGACTGCTGTTCTATTTTGCATATCTTTGAACATACATAGAACAAAAGGCTAGAGAGGAAAGGTTATTTTGGAAAACACGAAGGAAAGTACCTTCACTTCCTCCTTTCTTTTTTTTTTTTTTTTTTTTTTAAAGAAGTTTGGATTTTATTCCAAGTGAAGGAAAAAGCCACTCAAGGGGGCCTCGGGGGACCCAGAACACTCAGTTCACTTTTTTTCGAGACATGAATAACTAGATTATTTTAGGGGTTTGGCTCTTTTTATTATATCCATCTTTTTTACTGACATGGATACATTCAGGTCATGATTGTTTCCCTGATTTCTTGGTATTGGCTGTGTTCTCTCATATTTTGTTGTTTCCTTGAGATAACTGTTTTGAATTCCTTTCTGGGCCTTTCATAGATTTTCTTTTCTTTAAGATCCGGTACTGGAGAATTACAGTATTCCTTTGGAGTATCATATTTCCTTGCTTTTTTCATGTTTCTTGTGTCTTTCTGTCATATCTGTGCATTTGTTGTAACAGTTGCTTCTTCCAATTTTATGAACTGGCTTTCACAAAGAAACTTTTTCTTGTAGATGTATTTATAGTTTTGGTCGAGTAGGGTGTTTTGGCTTTGATAGAGGCAACAATGTAGTCTTCATATGATCTCTTTGCTATAATTTATGTCGGCAGTGTCTGTATTTTTCAATGGTTTAAACTGTGGTTGTTAGTGGTGGAAACTGGTGAGGCTTTGCTCGGGATATTAACAACAGGTGGGCTGCTTGTTGGGCCCCAGGGTGCCACACATGGGCACTGGTGGTGGCAGCAGCAGGCCCACCGTACCAGTCCTCAGGCCCCCAGGCAGCGACTGTGGATGCTGGCAGTGGCGGGGGTGGGAGGGCACGGGCAGTCTGGTCCTCAGGCCCCCAGGTGATGGGTGTGGGCACTAGCAGTGGCGGCAGCAGGTCAGGCAGGCCATTCCTCAGGTCCCTGGGCAGCACTTGCAGTGCCAGAAGCAGTAGTGGGCACCCTGGTTGGTGCATTTGGGTGGGCACCAGTTCAATATGTACTCTTTTGTGCCCAGTTTTTTTTTTTTTTAAACTCCACATTGAGATGCTCTCTATTGTTTGCACATAAAGTTCATTCATACTCATTACTGGATTTTAAACTGTATTTTCTATACTGTATTCATCTGCTGTATTTTGTCACCATATTACTTTACTTGGGTAAATGGACCAATTAAAAAAAATTATTCTGCTGTTAATGGGTGTAGTTGATGGCTTTTGGCTATTACAAATAGGGCTGGAGAGGGAAATTTCAGGTGCTGAGAGCTTGAGATGGGATGAGTAGAGTCTCAGCTGATTACAACATGAGCATGGGTGAAAACTCAGACATCGCCTTCCACTTCCAAGTGTACATTGGCCATTGTGTGGTCATGAACAGCCGTGAGAATGGAATCTGTCAATTGGGTGCCGGCTCCTCACCTTCAGTTTTCGACCAAGGTGACCAGGTATGGCTGATGGTGCTAGGAATAAAGCTGCCTACTTCTCTCAGGCCAACATAGGGAAACCACAGCTCTGGAAGGCTGTAGTGGAACGGGCAAGAAACCGTTTTTGCTGTACTTTTACACCTTTTCTCTTTTGAGCTTTGTGAAGGTATTACCTGGCTGCGTGGTCGCTGGGCACCTCTCCCCAAATCAAAGCTGCACTTGCTCAAAATCAGGCCCGAGGGCTTCGGGCTCCCGCTGGGGGCTTGGGAAGGCGGCCGGGCCCGAGCCGCGGTCAGGCGGGGTTGGGGCTTCGGGTCTCCTCACGGTGCTGCCCAGATCCCGGGCCTTCTCCGGGCTCCGCAGCGCGCGCCAGGGCTGGCTCGCGATTACAGCCGCCTGCCCCCGCCTGAGGAATGTCGCTGTCGCCATTTGTCACGCCCGTCTGCCTGCCACTGCTGCCTGCCTGCAGGTCGCACAACACCCCACTTCCTCCTTTCAAGACTTTAGTGTCATAACGTTTTTTCCAATAGCCACATACGACTTTTCAAAATGTTAAATAATTTTTTGAGGGGAAATAATTGAAGATGTGCTTACTGGCCAGCAGGCCTAGTGTCAGAACTCTCATAAAGATGACGTTGTCATTCTCGGCAACTAATTTAGCAAGATCAAATGAGCACTGGCCTATAAGTAGCTAATAGGGAGAAGTGTATTACAACTCCCTCACCTGTAAGGAATTTTTTTCTTTTTAAGAAGCGGGAGGAAGGTCTGGCTATGTTGCCCAGGCTGGTCTCGAACTCCTGGCCTCAAGTGATCCTCCCGCCTCAGCTTCCCAAAGTGCTGGGATTACAGGCGTGAGCCACGGCACCCAGCCACCTACATGGAATTTATGATACAGGCATGTAAATAAAATACAAATAAAGCAAAAGAAAACCTTGAATGACCGTGAAAAAGGGAACACCAACAAAAAACACCCCTAGGAGACCACATCCGTTTAGTAAGTGCCCTGGAGTGCAGAGAGGGAGCAAGAACTGTGGGCGTCAGGTGACAAGTGACGGGTGAGCTGGATGGAGCAGAAAGGCCAAACCCTGATGTGGAGACCTGGGGAGAGAGGAGGCTGCCTGGGGCAAGGCAGGTGAAGAGAAGGAAGGAAGAGCATTTTGAACCAAGTGCATGGAAACTGGCCTCTGCCAAGCACATCTGAAGGTATCCAAGGATACCTGGACAGCTTGTGTGGCCAGCCTTCCGGTTCTCCTGGCGCCTAGAAGGCCAAGGCCTCCTGGAGCCCACTTCCCCCCCTTATACCTGATTATGCTCGTGGAAGTGGCTATTTTCTTCTGTAGGAGGAAATTCAGTTATCAACTTAACTGAAAGGCCTAGAGCCTTTCCAACTGGGAGGCACTTTTTCTATTAAGATTCCAGGCCATGTATAGCCCCTGAGATAATTCCTGAGACCCAAACCCCTCAAAATGACTCTGTACCAGGTGCAGAGGCCCACACCAGAAATCCCAGGGCTTTGAGAGGCCAGGGCAAGAGAACTGAGTTCAAGACAAACCTGGGTAACACAGCGAAACCTCATCTCTATCAAAAAAATTTAAAATTAACTGGCTGTGGTGGTGGCTGCCTATAGTCTTAGCTATTCGGGAGGCTGAGGTGGCAGGATCGTATGAGTCCGGGAGGTCAAGGCTGCAGTGAGCCGAGATCATGCCACTGCACTCAAGCCTGGGCAACAAAGCGAGACACTGTCTCAGAAAAATAAACAAACAAATGAAATGACTTGAGCTCTTACCACAGTATTTCTAGAGACGTATTCTGCTGCAGGGCCCTTGCAAGGCTCTTTCCTCCTTCTGTGGAGATGCCGTTAGACGCAAGACTAGGAAGCAACACAGTTGGGGTGAATTATTAGAGACACATCTACACTTAATCTTGGCTTCAACCTCAGAACAGCTGGGAAGCCTCTGCCTGGCCATGGGCCCCGCCCAGGCTCACTTGAGTCAGGACGCAGAACTGCTCAACTATAGCAGTGCTCGGGTGTTGCTTCCCCAGAGCCCACACAAAGAGCACAAGGGCAGGCCGGACGGGAAATGGGCCATCAGCACGGCCTGCTCACACAGCAATGGGCTGGGGTAGGTGTCTCAGGTTTCCGTACATGGGCTGGAGGCTGGGGTGGCCTGGTGAGCTGTGCTTCCAAAGGCTGGCCCCATCAAGGTACCCCATCTGCAAGACCTGACGAAGTCTCTTCTGCTACTGCCCCCACCTTCTGGGACTCTTTTTCAGTGGCAGAAAGGACAGCATCAGAACACACCAAGGCCTCAAGATTTGGCCAGCGGCCTAAGCGGAGGCTGGGTAGGAGCATCCCTGTTTATAGAGAGGAAGAGTCCCTCTTTTCTAACACCATGCTGAAGACAAGGAAGGGGAAGAAACCTGTTGGCCAGCATCTTACTAAGTTTCACTGGAAACCCTCCCACTACCCCAAGGGGCATGCAGGGATGGCGGAGGGGCTGGAAATGTCCTCTGTCTTGAGGAGGGTGGTGGCTGGCTGGTGTGGGACCCATGCAGAATTCACTGAACTGAACGAACACTTGAGGTGATTCTTCAAGGATCTAGAACCAGAAATAACACTGGATCCAGCAATCCCATTACTGGGCATATATCCAAAGGATTGTAAATCATTCTACTGGCTGGCTCACATTTGTAATCCCAGCACTTTGGGAGGCTGAGCTGGGTGGATCACCTGAGGTCGGAAGTTCAATACCACCCAGACCAACATGGAGAAACCCCGTCTCTAATAAAAATACAAAATTAGCCAGGAGTGGTGGTGCATGCCTGTAATCCCAGCTTCTCAGGAGGCTGAGGCAGGAGAATCGCTTGAACCCAGGAGGTGGAGGTTGTGGTGAGCTGAGATCATACCGTTGCACTCCAGCCTGGGCAAAAAGAGCGAAAATCCATCTCTAAAAAATAAAAACAAATCATTCTACTATAAAGACACATGCACATGTATATTTACTGCAGCACTATTTATAATAGCAAAGACTTGCAACCAACCCAAATGCCCATCAATGATACACTAAAGAAAATGTGGCACATATGCACTATGGAATACTATGCAGCCATAAAAAAGAATGAGATCATGTCCTTTGCAGGGACATGGATGAAGCTGGAAACCCTCATTCTCAGGAAACACAGGAACAAAAAACCAAATACCACATGTTCTCACTCATAAGTGGGAGGTGAACAGTGAGAACACATGGACACAGGGAGGGGAATATCACACATGGAGGCATGTCGAGGGGTGGAGGGCAAGGGGAGGGGGAGCATTACGACAAATGCCTAATGCATGCAGGGCTTAAAACCCAGATGACAGGTTGACAGGTGAAGCAAACCACCATAGCACACGTTTGCCCATGTAACAAACCAGCATATCCTCTACATGTATCCCAGAACTTAAAGCTAAAAAAAGAAGAATGTGCTTTACTAGATGGCCTCTTATGCATCAATAAGAGGTTTGACAAGAGTAAGGAAAATCACACATGCAAATCCCCCTCCTATTAGGAGCTCCAATCACCCTTCCCCAGCAAACCTAGAGCACCCGGGAGGGACCAGGTTGGCCCCTGGAGATAGCAGGGCCGCAGTTACCTCAGGATGGTCAAGCTGGGGTGGTTCCGCAGAGCCTCCGCAAAGGCTTTTGCCCCTTCATCCCCAACTTGATTGCCCCACATCCTGAGGGAGGAGACAAGACAGTGAATGTTAGCTCCCCTAAACACAGCCATGCCCACCCCTTCTTTTTTGCCAATGGCCACGGCTTGATTCATACTCAGCAGGCAGATGTTTGCGTTCAGTCCCTGGAGCTGCGGGCCTGGACACTTAATTCCCTGCACTGGCCTCTGAGTGGGCCGCTCTGGATTTCAAATTCAAGGGGTGACGTAAGATCGAAATGCAGGGGAAGCCTTGTGAACAGAGGCTATCAGCAAGTGGCTCAGAGACGGCGCCTCACTGCGAGCTTCGGAGAGCCCGGGAACCTGCGCTCATGAGAGAAAGCACCTGCATGTCTCGCTTGGAGCACAGAGGTCTGCAGAGTCCTGAAGGGAAGGCCGTGTGCAGGTGCTGGGTTCCCAGCATCTGTTCAACTCTGGGCAGGGTCAGAGACATTCCTGAAGACACAGTCTTCCAGGAGACAAAGAGCAGGAAGTGCCTTCAGAAACCCTATCAGCAAGGTTCCTGTCAAATAAAGAGGATGTCACCCAACCAAGCTCTGTGGCTATGGCCATCTTGGTGGAGAGCTGCGGTGTTACAGCTGTATTCTCTCCCCGACAGCAGATCCAGAGAGGCTCTGGCCAAAACAGTCTGCATGGTAAGATGGTAGACTCCAGTCCTGGCTCTGCCATCTGCCACCTGTACAAACTTGGGGCAATTGTGTAGTCTCTTGGACCTCAGTCTCCTCATCTATACAGTGGGATACTTAGAGCATTCCCTCCTGGAGTTGTTGTGAGGATTCACTGAGTTATAACAGATGCAAAGCACTTAGAACAGGGTATGACTGACACAAAAGCGCTGGCTGCTCCTAACAGGATCGGTGCACACTGTCTATACACAGCAAAGCAAGTTCGTGTGGCCCACTCTCAGAGCAACAGTGGCTGCCTTAAGAACACGTTTGTACCAAGCAAGCTACCTGCCTACACCCTTCCAAGTATGGCTTCCTGGAACCCAAAATAAGAGTTTTCAGTGTTTTGCTTAAATATATGTATCTACTATACAATTGAATGGCATCACATTTTTAATTTAGTAGAAAACTACTCAAGGCATGAGATTAAATGAAAAGAGAAGGATAAAACTCTGTACATAAAATCTGACTCCTACTATATTTTTAAAAAACAGTACAAAGAGAGGAAGAAAGAGCTTAACTGAGCTCAAATATTAACAAGAATTATTTTCTGAGAAGATAATTTTTCTTTTTCAGAGTTTCCAACTAAAAAAGTAATTTTAGTGTTCCTTTTATAATCCAATAAAAATTGTAATTATATGAAAAGCTTTAAAAAAACCGCAAGAATCAAAACCACAATGAGATACAATATCTTGTTCATTAGGATGGCTACTGTCAAAAAGAGAAAATAACAAGTGTTGGCAAGGATGTGGGGAAAGTGGAACCCTCATGCACTGTGGATGGGAACATAAAATGGTGCCACTACTGTGGACAATAGTATAACGATCCTTCAAAAATTAAAACTGACCATGTGATCCAGCAATCCCACTGCTGGGTATACACCCAAAATAATTGAAGGCAGTCCCTTGAAGAGTGATTTGCATGCCCAAGTTCCCAGCAGCCTTATTCACAATAGCCAAAACCACAGAAGCAACCCAGTGTCTGTTCTTAGATGAATGAGTAAACAAAATGTGGCACAGCCACGCAATGGAGTATTACTCAGCCTTAAAAAAGAAGGAAATCCTGGCCGGGCGTGGTGGCTCATGCCTGTAATCACTTTGGAAGGCTAAGGTGGGTGGATCATTTAAGGTCAGGAGTTCAAGACCAGCCTGGTCAACATGGTGAAACCCCACCTCTACTAAAAATAAAAAAATTAGCCAGGCACGGTGGTGGGTGCTTGCAGTCCCAACCACTTGTGAGGCTGAGGCAGGAGAATTGTTTGAACCAGGGAGACGGAGGTTGCAGTGAGCCAAGATCGAGCCGCTGCACTCCAGCCTGGGCAACAGAGCAAGACTCTGTTTTTGTTTTTTTTTTGTTTTTTTTTTCTAAAAAAAAAAAGGAGGAGGAAATCCTGTCACATGCTTCAACATGGATGAACCTTGAGGACATGATGCTAGTGAAATCAGCCATCCCCAAAAGGCAAATACTGTATGATTCCACTTACGTAAGGGAAAGTAGTCAAAACCACAGAGAAAGTAAGTAGAAGGGGCAGGGGAGTGGGTGGGGCTGTGGAGTTACTGCCTAATGAGCGCGGTTTCAGTTTTGCAGGGTGGTGAAAGCTCTCCGCTGTGTCTCCCCGACAGCGAGCGCTGGTGGTCCTTCTGGTGTACTGATGTATGAAAAGAGCAGCAGGTGCCTATGCACACACAGCAGGTTATACACACATGCTTGTCCCCTTCTACTCACCCAACATCAGAGATTGATCTGCTGTTCTTCACAGCCAGGGCGAGACACTTCCCTCCTTCACTCGTGATTTTGTTTTTACCCAGTCTACAGAGAGAGTCATGCAAATCAGCCTCCAGCTATGCAGGAGCTCCAAAGTGGACCATCCTCCCCGCCAGCACACAGCCCCTTCCAGCCCCATCTTGGGAACTGTGGACTTTCTTCTGGGACCCAGAAGAGCCATGCCCTGGGCCCCCTCTCAGGGAGGGACCTGAAGCCCTGAGGACAGTCAGTCAGGGTTCCTCTCCAGGAGATGGCCCATAGTCTCTGCAGAAGCTCAGGGACCTGAGCACCCCCCCGGGGTCCTCTAAGTGGACAAAGCAGCATCACTGACTTCCCTTGGCAGACCAGGGAGGCCCCACTTTGACTGCCAAGGGTCAAAGTCTGTGGCTATAGTCAGAGCAGGACCAGAGGCTCCACGCCTGGCACACTGTCACCCCCCGGGCAGGGCACATCTACAGGAGGGCAAAGGCCCAAGTTCTTGCTTCCAACCAGACAAGAAACTCCCTTGGGACAAAAAAAGACCACCAGAAAGGGTGAGGGTCCTTTCTTCGGGTTAGTAGTCAACAAAATCAAAATGCCAACCTTTCCCCTCCCAACGACAGGTGGCCCTTCCAGAATCCGGGCCTCACAGATCACACAGAGGTGTCCTTATTTGACCAACGTGGCCTAGGACAAGTGAAGGCCTTAGGATGAAAGCTCTTTACCATGACATTTAATCTCTGAACAACAGAAGGGGGTGACCAGGAGAAGCTACCAAGGAACCTGGTGCCTACCCCACTTACTTAAGGTGAGTGAGGCTTTTGCATTCATCCAGGATCTTGGTGATGTACCTGGCTCCAACATCGGTGATCTGGTTGTTGTATAAACTTCAAGAGAAAGCACAGCCGTGAGACTTCATGGCTCCCAATGTCCTTGTAATAACCCTATTTTCTGAAGTATGTGCTGTCTACTGATTTCCAAGGTCTAGGTTGAAAGGGGAAAACATAGACACGGGAGTTCGGGGCTCTGGGGTCTCACACCCAGGCTCAAAACCAACTCCACCACTTTCCCCAGCTTTATGGCCTGGGACAAGTCACCTAAGGGCTATGTGCCTCAGTTTCTCCATCTGTAATATAGGGGTAATGATTATAGCCCCCTTGCAGGGTGGTGATGAGGATCTTAGGACATAATGCAAAGCCCTGGCGCATGGGTGCTTGGTGACTGGCAAGGAAGATTACATTCAGCATCTTGAGGGGAAAAGATTCTCTCTGCATATTGAACCTTCTCAATGTCTACCTTTCAGCTATCCCACGGCTCAATGCCAATTCAATAATACAGCAGAAGGATATTGAAAGGCAGCTAAGCTCAGGCTTTGAGGGTTCCACAGCTGCACAGAGCCCTGGAGCCGAGTGCGGCCCAGGGTGGTTCGTGTCCCTGTCCTCGTTAACACTGCAGGCCGCTGAGGCCCCAAGAAATGGAATAAGCACTCCACCTCACAAGGCCACCAGTGGTGTGGGGCTGGCCCGCCGTCCCTTCTCGCAGACTCCAAAACCTCAAAGGCTCTGAATGCCCCACATTTTTCACAATTCTTTTGGCAACTGATGTGGAGCTATTTATAGTCTTTCTTACCACACTTGGTTTGACTGTTCATACATTCTGTGGGAGAAATATGAAAGCGTTTGAAAGCGGAGCACAGCCTTAGACCCCTGAGCCACATCACGCCAGAGCATGCACTCAGAATCCCCATTTGGGTCTTGCCTCAAGGGCTCTGGATGAGGGATTTTGGACCCGTAAAAGTCAAGACTAGTAGGTAAACAGGATTCTAACATTTATTAAACATATTCCCTTATATTCTCTCTTTGCATCCCCAATAACCAGTTGTAAAGCAACTTGTCTAAACTGGGATCCCCATTTTACAGGTGAGGAGGCTGAGGCTCAGCAAGACTTCATGACTGGCCAAGCCACGCACAGAACCCAGGACTCAACTCCCGCTCCAGTGCTCTTCCCAGCCCTGGGCCATCCGTGCCGATCATCCAGGGACCCACATAAATGTTAATTTCCTGCAGCTCTGTATTATTACTAGGTAGTTGGCCCAGTGTTCTGGAGAAGGACATACCCCAAAAATGTCACAATTTTGTATTTGGTCAGCTCTTCGCTTAGCACCTTTACCCCGCCATCAGTGATCTGGTTTACGCTCAGTCTGAAACAAACCAGCAAAAAAATTATGAGTCAGGGCAGGCACTCATGATGAAGGATCATAAATCTTACAAAGATCCAGAAGCCTTCAGGCCCTGGAGTTTTCCCAGGTATAGACACCCCTGGAGAATGGCCACAGCAATTATTTGGAAACCAAACAGCCCCTTTCAAAGCCTGGCCAATGTGGGGTCGCCAGACCCACCCCACACCAGCCCACGATGGAGGCTGCAGCACAGTCCCCCACTCCTCACATGACCATGAGGGACACAGGGAGAACATGTGAGCCCAGCCACATCTGACATCACCCCCTTTTCAGGGGGCCTATGTGTCAGCCAGACTCTGAACCTGGTTCTCACTGCACAGTGGAGGGCATGGGCTTAGAAACATGAGGGGCTGCTTTCAGTGGCTATTTTACTGGAAGAGGGAAGTACCCCGTCATCTTGTGGGCAGGGCCAGTGATGTCAGGTGTCTGGCAAACTGCTGGGCAGGTCTCACAAGAACTGTTGTATCCAAAATGCCAACAGCCTTCCCCCATCCAGAAACACATGGGCTAACTCTGACTCATCACTGGAAAAGGCTGTGGGTCTCACTGTCTCTCTCTCTCTTTTTTTTTTTCTTTTTGAGATGGAGTCTCCCTCTGTTGCCCAGGCTGGAGTACAGTGGCGCCATCTCTACTCACTGCAACCTCTGCCTCCCGGGTTCAAGCGATTCTTCTGTCTCAGCCTCCTGAGTAGCTGGGATTACAGGTGCGTGCCACTACGCCCAGCTAATTTTTTTGTATTTTTAGTAGAGATGGGGTTTCACCATGCTGGCCAGGCTGGTCTCAAATGTCTGACTTCGTGATCTGCCTACCCCAGCCTACCAAAGTGCTGGAATTACAGGCATGAGTGATCGTGCCCTGTAACCAGCAGCTGGTTCCTGCTGTCAAAGGAGACTGATCATGTCTTTCTGTAAACTGTCAGACAGCAAATATTTTACGCTCTGTGGGCTGGGTGGTCTCTGTCAAACTACTCAACTGTGTAGTGTGAAACAGCCAGTAAGTAAATAAATGCATATGGCTGTATGCCAATAAAACTTTACTCATAAACACAAGCCATGGGCCCAATTAGGCCCACAGCTGACCTTGATAAGTAGTAAAAGGCAGAACAGGTAAAGGCTTGATTTTTAGGCCACATCAAAATGATCAAGTCAGACACTCTGGACCCTTCCCCTCAGAGTCCCTAGCTTGGTGCTGGGAAATAGTGTGTATGTGCAGGGCATGGCCAGCCCAAGACGGCACAGGCTATTAGACATTCCCAATAGCTATACTTTCTCAGCAACCGATTCCCCCATCTTTTATCTGGGCCCATCTGTCTAAGTTCTACCCATACTATTAAGTTCTGACATCTAAGCAGCAGTATAATAAAGCCAAGAAGTCTTCTTAAAAGATTGAGGCATGCCCTTCTTTGCCCTTCCTTTTTACTGATAGCTAGAGTGTTGACTAGATGGCTGGTGCTAGAGCAGCCCTCTTGGGCCAAGACGTGAAAGCCAGGTAGTGAGGATGGCAGAGCAGCAAGGCAGAAGACAGCCTGGGCTCCTGACGGTCATGGAGACTCCATACCAGTCCTGAACTACCTACCTCCAGACTTTTACATGACAGAAATAAGCTTGTAAGTCATCAAGATTTGGGGTTTTCTCTCTCAGCTAAAACGAATCCTAACTGATGCAGCCAGAGAGCTCAGCATGCTTCCTGTGGCTGCCCATGTCCTCCTGCTTTCCTGCAAGCTGCTTTTTCTTGCACGGATGTGAAGGAAAGCTTCACCTGGGGACAGCAGAAAGGGCAGGGCCACCACACTGGTGTGGGGTTTCCCTTTTAAAAGATGGACAGAGGGGCTGGGTGTGGTGGCTCACGCCTGTAATCCTAGCACTTTGGGGACTGAGGTGGGAGGATCACCTGAGGTCAGGAGTTTGAGATCAGCCTGGCCAACATGGTGAAACTCCGTCTCTACTAAAAATACAAAAAAATTAGCCAGACGTGGTGGCGCGTGCCTGTAATCTCAGCTACTCGGGAGGCTGGGGCAAGAGAATTGCTTGAACCTGGGAGGCGGAGGTGGCAGTGAGATGAGATTGCGCCACTGCACTCCAGCCTGGACAACAGAGTGGGACTCTGTCTGGGGAAAAAAAAAAAAAAAAAAGATGGACAGAGGACAACACGAATGTGAAACTGTTTACGGCTACAGAGGGAGAGTCACTTGCTGAGAATACGGAGAACAGACTCTGGGTGTTCCAATTCCCAGGCTAGGGCAGCCTTCAGCCCCTGCATCCCATGTCACCATGCAATTTACACTCTGCCACTGGTGTGACAGGCACTGGGAATCAGTTCCAAATCCCAACTGGTCTTCAGAAATGCATGAGCCAAGTAATGGTGAATATAACCCCCTGTGGAGAGTTACAAGATTTATTTTATATAGGAAATGCTAATAGAAGAAAACAGATTGGTGTCTGTTTCCCCTAAACTACGGCACAAGAAAACAACCACGAGTCAGCATTTTAACTGAGATCTCTAGCAGTGCAAAGGCCTGCTGGCTTTGATCACAGAAAATCACCAATGCCGATTAGCACAAGGTCTGCTTTCTCCACAGTAATAAAAGCTTCCATATTCCGGAAACTTGTTGAGGACCATCTCTGAGCCTTGCATTAATCTTAAAAGGAAGGCTCCTTATGCAGTCTGGCACTACCATGTCCTAGCTGTGTGATCCAGAGCAAGCTATTAACTTCTCTGTGCCTTCACTTCCTCGTCTGCCAAAAGAGAGACAGTAACAGTACCTAAGTTATAGGGTTGTAAAGAGCATTCCATTAGGTAATGTTTGCAATGCACTTCACGCATTCTCAATCAACACTGGTCTTTGTGGCTATAACTGATAGGATTATGAGCATCTTCTTTTTCCAGGTGAGGGCACAGAGGCCGTGAGGGGTGAGCACGTTGTTCAAGGGCACCCAGCTATGGCTGACCCAGGTCCACCTGCCTCGAAGCTTTGCACCTTGCCCTCTGGCCCTGTGAGAGAGAAAAGGTCTGGATATTCCAAAGCCCACGGTCATGAGTCAGGGGATCCTGGTCCATGATGCCAGTCCTGGTGCCCCCCCCGCCTGGCCTGCTGGCCCACCTGCTCCCCTTGCCTGGCGGCCTTACCTGATAACGGTGAGGCGGCTGAAGCAGGGCCGCAGCTCCTGCACGCCATAGTCGTTGAGATTGTTGTTGTCCAGGTCTAAGGCCAGGCGCTTGGGGAAGTGGTTCAGGACGAAGGAGAGGGCGCTGCAGTCGGCCGAGCAGGCGTTGCAGTAGGTCAGCTTGAGGTAGTTGGCGCAGATGCCCCTGGCCGCCAGCTGCCCCACCTTCTGGCTCTGCGTCTCGTAGATGCAGCGCAGCATCCAGAGGAACGTGGGCATGGCCTGCACCTGGCTGAAGCTTTCCACCTGAACTCGGGGCAGGTTCTTCAGGTAGCCCCGCAGGCTGGAGAACAAGTGTGCCCACAGGGCCTTGCGCTTCCTCCTCAGGGCCGCCGCGGGCACCAGGTACCGCAGGAGTTTCTGTTTGGCTTTGGACAACAGCCCGCACAGGAAGAGGTTGGTGAACTGGAAGTGATCCTTGTTCTTAAAGAGGTCTTCCCCCACCGGGCCGCTGCCCTGCAGGCACCGGAACCCAAGGAAGGGAGGATAGCAGGACGCAGCCACTGCCCCCCCAGAGGGCATCCACTCCCGGAAGAACCTGAGCAGCTCCCGAGTGCCCACTCTGTCGTCCAGCACGAGGAAGAAGGCCGTGAAGAAGGCCTGGAGGGTGAGGTGCAAAAACTCGTAGGACTGCTGCTCCCCACCGGGGCCCAGCTCCGGCAAGGCCCGCAGGAAGCCCAGCTGCCTGTCTCCCTCCTGCAGCCCGGAGGCCTGCACCTCCTCCTGGGTGAAGACAAAGAGGCTCCTGTCCATGCCCCAGTGGGCCACCTGCCCCAGCGAGCACAGTGTGTCCCGGCTGGCGCGGAGGGTCTCCACCGGGCTGCGTGTGTTCCGCTGCACCAAGCTCCTGGGCTGCATCCTGTTCAAGTGGACTTCGGTGACCAGCAGGAAGACGTCGGTCAGGGTCATCGTGCAGTCAGGCAGCTGCGGTGAGCCTTCGAAGGCGGCGTGGAAGTGCTGGAAGCACCGGAAGATGATCCAGCAGAAGAGGGGCACGGTGCACAGGCTGCAGAGGTTGGGGTTGGCCTCCAGCTGGCTCAGCAGGCGGTCCCGCACCGCGCGCTCTGGGAACATCCTCTTGGCGTAGGCGCGCAGGTGGCTGGGGGAAAAGCCCCGGAGAAGCACCTTCTTCCGCAGGAACTGGCGCGGGACCTCGACACCTGTGCGGGCCGTGAGCAGCTTGCTAGCCCCCTTGAGCAGCTTCCCGCTGAGCAGGTTGGCCAGTAGGACCAGTGGGTGGGCAGGCTCCCAGGGACAGGAGATGTCAGGCACACGGCTCAGGTCCAAGTCCGAGTGCAGCTCGTCCAGGCCATCGAAGGTGAAGAGGGCCACCTGGGGGAAGCGCAGCAGGAAGGCGAACACCTCCTCGGGGTCCTGCTCCGGGTAGCAGTAGTGCTTGAAGAGTAGGTCCTGCAGACACAGCCTGTCACTGTCCCTGAAGCAGCTGAACATGCGGCAGCGAAAGTGGAAGAAGAATTTGACCCCTGCGTCTAGCCGGCCCGTGGCCCAGAGGCTCTGCAGCCGCTGCAGCAGCATGGACTTGCCCACCCCAGCATCGCCCAGGATGAAGATGGTCTCTCCCTGCTCATTGAGCACGCCGGTGGTGTGGTCCAGGAGGCAGGCCAGGCTGCCCAGGCTGCCCAGGCTCTCATTGCTGAAGCCGACCAGCTCCATGATGGTGTCCATGTAGGTCTCCTCCAGCAGCAGCTCCTCCTTCTGGGCATAGCACAGCATGAACTTGGAATCACGGCCCAGATGGTGTCGCAGCTGCTGGGTGTATCTGCTCACTGGAGGGCGGGATGGCAGGGCATAGCGGCACGGTGAGAGGGAGAGAGGCAGAAACAGCATCAAACAGGGAGGTCTCAAAGAGGAGAGAAAAGTGTGCAAACAATTCACAACCTGGACCCTGAGACCAGCACAGCCACTCCTCAGATCCTCAGATGCAGGCCCTGGGGCATGTCACAGACCCAGCTTTCCTGACCCTGAGGGCCCTGGGCTTTGATCCCTCTGCTTGACCTCAGATTTAGCCAGACAGAAGGTGGCAGACTTCAGCTGGGACCAGTGTCTGAGACAAGCCATCCTTCTTCTTCTGCACGATATTGCCATTGAACTGCAGCTAAACGCTGACGCCCCTCACACTTGAGGGCCAGGCCAGCCCCCACCAACACAGCATTTTTGTCGTTAGAGATAGGGTCTTGCTCTGTCCCTCTGGCTGGGGTGTAGTGGCCCAATCACTGCAGTCTCCAACTCCTGGGCTCAAGCAATCCTCCCACTTCAGCCTCCCAAGTAGCTGGGACCACAGGCATATGCCACCATGCCCAATTAATTTTTGTATTTTTTGTAGAGACGGAGTCTCACTATGTTGCCCAAGCTGATCTCAAACCCCTGGGCTCAAGCGATCCACCTGCCTTGGCCTCCCAAAGTGCCAGGGAGTATTATATACTTGTCAATAATTTTTAGTAAATTTAAGAAGTTGTGCAAACTTTACCACAGTCCAGTTCTAGAACATCTCCACCATCTTCCCAGAGTTTTCTGGAACCTATTTGCAGCCAATTCTTGGGTTGTAGGCAACTACTGATTTGCTCTGTCTATATATTTACCTCTTCTGGACATTTCATAGAAATAGAATCATACAATACGCGGTCTTTTGTGTGAGGCTTCTTGTAAATTACACTGTAAAAGCTAGTAAAGTAGCTGGCTAACGGAACCAAGAGAGAAGTCTTTCAAAAGAATGATTCCTCATCGGAATATTTTTCCTTTTTTCATGGGGGAAGAAAACGCGGGGAGGCAGGAAGGAGTAGACAGAGCCAGAAGCTGGCAGTGGCTGGCAGGCACCTGCAGGGCCGTGGGAGCAGAGCCTAGTCCTGGCCACTGCTGGCTGGCCTTGCTTCCCCAAAACACACCTGTCCTGTGCTTCCATTTCCAAGGGCTCACTGGATTCTTTAAAAGGCAGGATTTGGGTCCTTGGTGCTGGTATGTTACCAACAGCTGTCTCAAAGTGGAGCGCTTAAAAGCAGGGAAAGAAAACTCCTGCCCCAAAGCAGATCCTGGCCCCAGTGATAAGTTCTCACATGCCCTGGACCGCTGCTGTCCTGACCGCCATTAGCAAGGACACATCTGTGAGGGCTCTTCCAGCAGACTCGAAGCTCCTTCCATGTGTCTCTCTCCTTCAAGGGCTGGAACCCTATCTGTGCCTGCTCACCACTGTTTCCCTGACATCCAGCACAGGGTAGGGTCTTGGGATGTGGTGGGTTCAGCAAAAAATTCTTATTGAACTAGTCAATTAATTAATGGGGTCTCCCACTTTATGCTTTGGAAATAAGGACTGGCACCCAAGGGTGACGGAAGAATACTTTGCCTAGAATTAAACCTGGCAAGGCTTTTTTAATTTTTTCTTTCCATTTTTTAGCAACAGGGTCTCACTCTGTCACCCAGGCTGGAGTGGAGTGGCACAATCATAGCTCACTGCAGCTCTGACTCCTGGCATCAAGCAGGCCTCAGCCTCCCCAGTAGCTGGGACTACAGGTGTGCTACCATGTCCAGCTAAATATTTTTTTAAAAGAAAAAAAAAAAAAATACAACCTTGAATTTGTGCAGCCATTAAAATGTCTACATATGTCAGGATAGGAAGAAAGCAAGGGGTCAGAACAGAGGCCATTCCCACACGTCCACAGGCCCCCTATAAACCAGACCATCAAAGTGTGGGCAGTTCAGTTGCGGTCACCCGGACTGCACGTGGGTCACAGGGTTCGGCTGTTCCTTTCTAAAATGAAAATAGCACCTGGGCCTGCTTCCTGAGGTGGCACTCAGGGCTGGTCCAGCCGTTTCCATACCCCGGGGCCCTGCTTGCACTGGTGCCTGTGGTCTCGCTGGGGCTGCCTCCTACCTGGGTCAGTGTTGACCACGACTTTGCTCCGAATGAGCAGGGAAGGGGAGAAGCCAATCTCCAGCAGCCAAGGCCTGAGGTCCACGTAAGCATCTGCGAGTTGCTGGAGCAGGTAGACGAAGAACTCGGACACCTCCTCGCCCTTGCTCTGTACCAGGTCCAGAATTTTGCGGACCTGGAGGCAACACAAGCATGAGGGCACAGGCTGGCATGAGGGGCGTCCTCCTACTCTAAGGACCCTCAGGCAGACTCAGGGCAGGGCTCTGAGTTCTTACCATAGCCGGTAGCTACCCCATCCCCCCAGGTGCTGTGACAGTCAATGTATTGGAGCCCCAAAAGCTGCGAAATGACCTCCCGAGCAAGACATAAAACCACCCAGCTCTAAGAAACCAGAAGGCTTCCATGACCCTAAAAATAAAAAGGACAAACGCACAACTAGAGCCCCATCTAGCCATGGGATTCTCTTTCTGCCTCCTTTTCCCCCTTTTTTTCTTGTAGACAGAGTCTTGCTCTGCCCAGGCTGGAGTATAATGACACGGGCTCGGCTCACTGCAAACTTCACCTCCCAGGTTCAAGGGATTCTCCTGCCTCGGCCTCCCAAGTAGCTGGGATTACAGGCACGCGCCACCATGCCTGGATTTTTGTTTTTTTAGTAGAGACAGGGTTTCGCCATGTTGGCCAGGCTGGTCTCAAACTCCTGACTGCAGGTGATCGTCCTGCCTCAGCCTCCCAAAGTACTGGGATTACAAGTGTGAGCCACGCTACCCAGCCTTCTCCTTTTCCCTTTTGACCTGACGCAATGCCGTGCAGGAATGACAGTGAAGTGTGGAGGGCAAGAGCCACCCATTGGGCATAATGAGGTGGGCACCCAGGCCACACAGCAGGAGGACATCAGGCCATATGTTAAAAATGGCTTTTTTTCTTGTTAAAAATGCAGGAAAACGAATCAAGAGAGAACAAAGCACACGAGTGTGCTACTGCTTCCCCCAGAAATCGTCCTGGTCTCTTCTGAGTCCCAGCGGGGTCATGTCACAAATGGGTCATGTCATTCCTCTAACCATAAAAGAATTTGTGGTCTCCATTTTATTTTTCAGAAAATGACGCAAAGCTGAAGTGAAACTAAAGGCTGGTAAGGCTTCCCACGGTGGAGCGGGGAAGAGTCTTCACTGTGGACCCACCGTGGGATGCCATCATTCCTGAACCTGAGGCAGTTCCCCTCTGAGTGTCACCCAGCCACGAGCAGCCCTCCAGCCTTCAGAGGCACTGAGTGAGCATCACTGCTGGGGGTGCTTTTATACTTATGTTCTTTTTCCCTCCTAATAGAAAGGGGATCTAAAAATGAAGTGTCTGGGAACCAAAACACACAGCAATGAGAGCCGAGATGTCAGGGTTTGCTCCAAACACAAACATGGAAGTGAAATACCTGATTGCGCAACCTGCTAACCCAGGCGTCTGTGTGCTGTTAGTACCCCAAGTGCAGCCCTGCCCGCTGGACCAATCTCCCACACTCTGCACTCAGATCAACAGGGCGAGACCTCTTCCAGCTCCCGGGCCCACACACTGCCCATCCCGGCCCTGTCCCCGGGGCACCTTGTCGGGCGGGGTGGGGCAGGCACACACAATCTCCGCGTCTTCAGCCGAGAAGTAGTCATTCTTTAGCAGGTTGTCCACCAGACACTGAGTGTTGCGGATGTGAGTGACCAGAAGTTCCCGGTTGCTTTTCACTAATTGAATGTGGGGGTGTGCCTCTGACGGGATTATTTCCATCTCACTAGGGGCCTCCTCTTCCATAGTTAAAGTAGCAAGCAGTTACTTTTCCCAAATTCATCTTTGGCTGCATGTGTCCTTTCAGCAGAAGGGAAATCAGGATTCAGGTCGGCCTCCAGGGCCCCCGCTACTCTGCGCAGCCCCTGAAGAGACCAATGAGAGACCAATGACATCATCAGTAAAGCAAAAGCTACAGAAAGAGCTCACCCCACCTCCCACTGGTCCTGGGGTTTCTCTACCTACAGGAGGAGGAGCCATGCTTAAGATGTTTCTGGCCAGGCGAGTTGGCTGATGACTGTAATCCTAGTGCTTTGGGAGGCTGAGATGGGGAGACAGCTTGAGGTAAAGCCAGTAGTTTGAGACCAGCCTGTGCAACATAGTGAGACCTCTATCTCTACAAAATATTTTTTAAAAATCAGCCAGGCATGGTGGCACACACCTGTAGTCCTAGCTACTGGGGAGGCTGAGGCAGGAGGATCACATGAGTACAAGAGTTCAAGGCTGCAGTGAGCTATGATCACACCACTGCTCTCCAGCCTGGGTGACAGAATGTCACCTGTCTCTAAAAAAAAACTTTTATCTTAGATGCATTAAAGAAAAAAATCTTAATTTAATTGTTTGCACTTGAGGGTTACATCACTAAGGCAGGTGACCAGAGATGGCCAACCTTTTTTTTAAAATCAAAACTTCTTTATTATTATAAAACACAAGTGTGCTTTGATCCTAGACTGGGATAGAGATGGAAACGTATATTATTTTACATAATTAGTTTAACAGGGCTTGAGGTTTCTGCATTCCCCAAGCAGGGAGCAGGCCCAGAAGTGAGAAAGGAGGACCTGTGGGTTTGGTGAGAGACAGGGTCTGAGCACAAAATAGGCTGACGAGAGAGATGACAGCATGAAGTCTCCTGTGGCACCCAGAGCCAAGGGACCTAGGGACAGCGATGTCTCAGTCACTGTTGTCCATTTTAGGCTGTGCTATAACCTCCTCTCCTGTGTCCTCGACCTTCAGCAAAGTCTGTTATACACAAGCACCCTGGAGAAGGAGGGAGAAGCAATGGCCCCATGTGGCATGAAGCGGGACAGAGGGAGGGCAGAGGTGCAGGATGAAGAGGGAGAGCTGGCACGGAGCTCCCGGGATTAGATTCCCAAGAGAGGCATCTCTCTGAAAACCCTTGAAAATTTGGTGCAAGCTATTTGATTTGGGCATTAAAAAATGCTTCAGCTCATCTGAGTTATCCAAAAATTGCACTGACTACCTTTCTTGTAACACTAACAGCAAAAAATCATAATAATTTTTTAAGTCGGCCGGGCGCGGTGGCTCAAGCCTGTAATCCCAGCACTTTGGGAGGCCGAGGCGGGTGGATCACCAGGTCAAGAGATCAAGACCGTCCTGGTCAATATGGTGAAACCCCGTCTCTACTAAAAATACAAAAAAAAGTAGCTGGGCATGGTGGCACATGCCTGTAATCCGAGCTACTCAGGAGGCTGAGGCAGGAGAATTGCCTGAACCCAGGAGACGGAGGTTGCGGTGAGCCGAGATCGCGCCATTGCACTCCAGCCTGGGTAACAAGAGCGAAACTCCGTCTCAAAAAAAATAAAAATAAAAATAATTTTTAAAAAAAATCCCACAGAAGATCCTTCAGACTCTTCTTGTACAGGCATCCCTGCACGTGTAAAATGATCTTGGAAGTCGAAAGGCTTAGAACTGGCCACTTTGTCCTTTGTCTGGGCAGGAAAACCTATGCATTTCAGAAACAGTTAAAATTTTATAAACATATATATATATATATATATATATATTTAAAATTATATATATATATTGTTTTACTTTAGGGAACATGGGGTACATGTGCAGATCATGCAGGATTGTTGCATAGGTGCATACATGGCAATGTGGTTTGCTGCCTCCATCCCCTCGTCACCTATATCTGTCATTTCTCCCCATGTTATCCCTCCCCAACCTCCCTACCCCCACTGTCCCTCCTCTAGTCCCCCCCAACGGACCTCAGTGTGTGATGCTCCCCTCCCTGTGTCCATGTCTTCTCATTGTTCAACACCTGCCTATGAGTGAGAACATGCGGTATTTGATTTTCTGCTCTTGCGTCAGTTTGCTGAGAATGATGGTTTCCAGGTTCATCCATGTCCCTACAAAGGACACGAATTCATCGTTTTTTATGGCTGTATAATATTCCAGAGTGTGTATGTGCCACATTTTCCCTGTCCAGTCTATCATCGATGGGCATTTGGGTTGGTTCCAGGTCTCTGCTATTGTAAACAGTGCTGCAATGAACATTCACGTGCATGTGTCCTTATAGTAGAACGATTTATAATCCTTTGGATATATACCCAGTAATGGGATTGCTGGGTCAAATGGAATTTCTATTTCTAGGTCCTTGAGGAATTGTCACACTGTCTTCCACAATGGTTGAACTAGTTTACACTCCCACCAACAGTGTAAAAGCATTCCTATTTCTCCACATCCTCTCCAGCATCCGTTGTCAGGACATAGGCATAGGCAAAGACTTCATGACTAAAACACCGAAAGCATTGGCAACAAAAGCCAAAATAGACAAATGGGATCTAATTAAACTCCACAGCTTCTGCACAGCAAAAGAAACAATCATTAGAGTGAACCAGCAACCAACAGAATGAGAAAAAATGTTTGCAATCTACCCATCTGACAATCTACCCAGAATCTACAAAGAACAAAAGCAGATTTACAAGAAAAAAAACAAACAAACCCATTCAAAAGTGGGCAAAGGACATGAACAGACATTTTTCAAAAGAAGACATATATGAGGCCAACAAACATATGAAAAAATGATCATCATCACTGGTCATTAGAGAAATGCAAATCAAAACCACATTGAGATCAATCTCACGCCAGTTAGAATGGCAATCACTAAAAAAATTTTTTTAAGAGTTCAAAAAAAGTTCATAGATCTTTTATAACACTATCAGCATCATTACTATGTTTCACAAGCCACATCTGTTAACATTCAGGTCCAGTGGTTCTCAATTTTTTTTCCACCAAGTGGCACATGAGTCTCCCGCTCTCTGACATACTTCCATGTTTTGTTTTGTTTTGTTTTTTACCTATCAAACTGCAAAACATTGCAAACCTTATAGGGATTCTCAGCCAGACCCCACACAATAACTTTCTCATTAGAACCAAATGGTTGAGCAGGGAAGCATACAATTTAAAATTATCAGCAACAGAAGGGCAAGCAATACCAAAAAAAACTTAAAGGGATGAAAATGACTGGTTACTGTTCCAGTAAAGGTTATTAGATGCTAATCCAGCCTTTTCTTTTTCCTTTTTTTTTTTTTCTGAGACAGAGTTCCACTCTGTGGCCCAGGTTGGAGTGCAGTGACACAATCTTGGCTCACTGCAACATCTGCCTCCTGGGCTCAAGCAATTCTCCTGCCTCAGCCACCCAAGTAGCTAGACAGGCATGTGCCACTAGGCCCAGATAATTTTTGTATTTTTAGTAGAGACGGTTTCACCATGTTGGCCAGCCTGGTCTCAAACTCGTGACCTCAAGTGATCTGCCCGCCTCGGCCTCCCAAAATGCTTGGATTATAGGCATGAGCCACTGCACTCAGCTATTTTCTATAGCAGTCAATTCTATGACCCACTTTAGGATCCCTAGCTTTAGAAAGTGGTTCATTTAGAGCATACCAGTTGACAGTATTAAATTTAAATTAGCTGTTAATAATACCTTTTTAAGTTTCTGGCATTATTCTTTGAAGTTAGTCCGAATATTTTAAAACAACATTCTTTAAATCTTCAATTTCTAATTTCTTTCTGGAATCTGCAAAATCTAAGAAAAGAAAGACTTAAAAAACTTATTGCGCCACAAGGCGAATGAATGAATAAAATTGGCAAGAAAATCATTTTAAAATCGAGTACTGTACTCCCAGATGTCAGACTACTCTCTGTACCTTCTTCTTTTAGGACCATGTTTTCTAAATGTTAAACATCCTCGCCACAGTCACTTTTTTGTTGTTCTTGCCATAACTGAATCTTACCTGTACTTTATTTGCTTAACTTTTGGCTTTCAATTGAGTTTTGAAAACTCTAATATATTAATTTTAAAGGAATGTTACATCACCATTAGAGACAGAAAAAAATATCCTTTGCAACAACATAGAAAGTCACACAAAACTTAACACACCAGAAATACAACAATGTTATTCTATTCCAGCTAGTCCTGCTGCCTGGAACAGCTCCAGGGTTGGGCCTGTTTTCTCTTGGGAGCCTTTGAGAGATGTTAAAGACACAGTAGCACAGAACTGAGACTTTTCTTTAAGATAATCACAAGGCTGAGAGAAAACTGGAAAGAAGTGCTTCTCACTTTGTGATTTAGCATTTTTCAATGCCTTGCTCCATTCTTTAGGAGCCAGGAAGGGTACTGCACACCTTCCTTCATCCCTCCTCTCCCAATCTTGCCTGCCTACCACGAGGGGCCCATTTTACTCACTGCTTCTGTCTCTTCCAAGCCTGCGATTCCCATAAAAACAGTGACTTCTCTTCCCAGACGTTTCCTGTAATCACCGCCACAGACATCTCCACCTCTTGCCATCAACAGCAGAAACGGAAGGAAAGTCTTCTGATTTACAACCACCTAAATAAAGCAATATAATACACGTCAGCCATCTGGCAAGGAGGCTGCTTTGTAATTTCTAGAGCCCTTGTTTGAGATTAAATCAGGTGTGCAGAGTTAGCTCAATGCAGCAAGAACTTAACAAGGTATGGATATCAGAAGAGAAAGCAGAGAAACTAAACTCTGCCCTGGTAAACAGAATCTGAGGGCAGACCAAAACCATACCATAGGAGACTGGAGATAAATTCAAAGTTCATGGGTACTCATTACCACAAACGCCAGAGAGCCAGAGATCTGCTGGCCCTGGGAGGCGATCCTTTCCTTTCTTCATGGGGTAAAGGGTGGGTCCAGTTGATGAAGAGGGTCTGGTCCTCCCTTCCAGGCAAAGAGAAGGCCAAGGGTGGGCTGGGGCCAGGGCTAGGTATCTGGGAGCTGGTCTGCTGTTCTGGATAAAGGGTGGGGCTTTCCCGGGCCAGTGGTCCAGACCAATGGGGACCGAAGTTGGAGATCCTGGTAAAGCAGCTCCAGGGAATACCCAAAGAAAGAAACCAAGTTAATGGATACAGCGGGAAAACAGGACCCACCACAGAACAAAAAGATGGATCACCAAGTGGAGAAATGAAGCAGAGGAGATGGGAGGCGGGTGAGTCCCCACCCAAAGCCATCTCCTGAGGCAAAGGCAGGTGGGGGTAGATCCTGTTGGCAGTGACAGAGCCCTGAAGGGAGCTGGGGCCCCCACAGGCATCTCCTTCCAACTCCTCTTCTTTCTGGCTGTCTGCCCTCAGAGAGGGCTAGTTCCCAGTGTAAGGAAATCCCAGGGGTAATTCACCACTCCAGGCTCCTCACAGAAACCTGAGCCCAAGTCCCATCCTGCAGTGTGATCTTCCAAACTAAATAAAAGGTCTGCAGAGCCTCCAGAAGATGCACAGAAGATGCTCTGGAGAAAAGGAAGCAGGGATTGGGGAAGGGCAGGTCTTCAAATGGAAAAAGAACACCACAGAGTAGCTCCATTGAATTGAAATATGACACAAGCCTCCCAGTAATTTAAAACTTTCTAGTAGCCACATTAATAAAAAGTGAACAGGTGAAATTAATTTCAATGATATGTTTCAATTCTAATTCACTCAAAATATTTCAGTAGGTCATCCATACCAAATTTATTTACTTATTTATTATTATTTGAGATGAAGTCTCATTCTGTCACCCGGGCTGGAGTGCAGTGGCACGATCTCTGCTCACTGCAACCTCCATCTCCCAGATTCAAGTGTTTCTCCCGCCTCAGCCTCCTGAGTAGCTGGGATTACAGATACACCCCACCATCCCTGGCTAATTTTTGTATTTTTAGGAGAGACAGGATTTCATCATGTTGCCCAGGCTGGTTGTTGAGCTCCTGGACTCAAGTGATCCTCTCACCTCGGCCTCCCAAAGTGCTGGGATTACAGGTGTGAGCCACCATGCTCAGCCTATCAAAACAAACTTTATTAATGAGATAGTTTACATTCCTTTGGTTCATACTAAGGCTTGAAAACCCGGCATGTGTTTTACATTAACCACACCCCTCAATTTGGATCAACCATATTTCCAGTGCTCAAGAGCCACATGCTGCCAGGGGCTTCTGAGGTGGACAGCACCACTCCAGAGCAATCACTAGAAGCTAGGGCGGTGAGAAACCAGAGTTCCTGCCTGCCTGCCCTTCCATTTGAAATGCTGATGCCAGCAATGATCTTAATTGGCTTTTCAGATCAGGTTCATCGGCAACTCAGTGAGAGAGAGGTTAAAGAAGTGAGGTGACTGAAAATTCTGCAAACTCAGGAAGAAAGTACATACTGGACCTACCGGTTTATACTCAGTGTAAAATGCCCTGCACTGCTGCATACAATTTTGCAGCTTTGCATCCTTGCAAAGATCAGAGAGTAAGATAGAAAAATGCTGTTGATGTACGGTGAGTCAGGAGTCTCCTATATCACTGGTGGGAATGTAAATCTGCAGAAGCCTCTGGAAAGCCCTTTCACACCATAGGTGTCAACAGCCTGTGAAAACTTTCTATTTAGTAACTTCCCCTTCTAGAAACCTGCCTTTTGAAAAGAATCAGGAGTTCTGACAGTTTTTTTGCTTTTTGTTTTGTTTTTTTTTTTTTAAAGAAGGAACTTCCAGTCCTGGCTATAATAGAGTAACTGGTGGCTCACGCAGAGGGCCAACTGCAGGTGAACGGATTGACAAAGCGTGGCATATTCATACAGTAGAACACAATTCAACAATACATGCAAATGAAATAAGAACACATCATGAATGAATGTCACAGACAGTATGCTGAGTGAGAGAAGCCAGGCTTAAAATAGTACATAGGGCTGGGTGCCGTGGCTTATGCCTGTAATCCCAGCAGTCATTAGGTGGGGGTAGAGCCTGTTGGCAGTGACAGAGCCCTGAAGGGAGCTGGGACTTGCAGAGGCATCTCCTCCCAACTCCTCTTCTTTCTGGTTTTCTGCCCTCAGAGAGGGTTAGTTCCCAGGGCAATGGAATCCCAGGGGCAATTCACCACTCCAGGCCGAGGCAGGTGGATCACTTAAGGCCAGGAGTTCAAGACAGCCTGGTCAACATGGTGAAACCCATCTCTACTAAAAATAACAAAAATGAGCAGGGCATGGTGGTGCATGCCTGTAATCCCAGCTACTAGGGAAGCTGAGGCAGGAGAATCACTTGAATCCAGGAGGTAGAGGTTGCAGTGAGCTGAGACTGTGCCATTGCACTCCAGTTTGGGTGACAGAGCGGGACACCATCTCAAAAAAAAAAAAAAAAAAAAAAAAAAAAAAAAAAAGATTGCATACAGATGATTCTGAAAATCTGATCTAGAAATCAGAACAATGGTTCCCTGAGGCAGAGGGTAGATGGGAGTGAGGGAGAAATTAGCTGCAAAGGGGAGTAAGGGGAATTTCTGGGAAGACAGAAATGTTCTGTGTCTGGATTGCGGTGCCTGCTCTCGCCCTCTTACATGGTCATGTGTGTGCGTGTGCATGTATATATGTATGTGTGCATGAATATAAAGATACATACGACTTCTCAAAAGTCAGCAACCTATATACTTGAAATCTGTCAATGCTATCGTATTAAATTAATTTCCATTAAATTGATTTAATTAGAGGCAAAATAAAGCTTTTCCAGATAAAAACTGAGACTTTGTTGCTACAGAATCAGCACTAAAATAAATACTAAATAGAGTTTTTCAGGTATAAGAAAAATGATCCCAAGACAAAAATAAAATGATAAACAACAGGAAGTGTTAATATGCTGGAAACAGAAATGGGTCCTGATAGAACAATACTATATGAACATTTTCTGAGGTCACCAGGACCCAATAGGAAATGACTGACCCAGAAAGGGTCTTGCCTCCTGGACAGCAGCGAGGACTCTGTTCCTGAATCATGAGGTGGCCCCAGAGAAACCACAGATACACACTCAGTGTTACTTTCACCCCAGGCTTCTTTCTTTCCTTGCCTGTCCCACGGGGCCCTGAGAGGGAATGTGAATTTCTTAGAACTGAGATGCTAAGGTTAAAAAGAAAATTTACAAAGCTGTTCTCCATATATTCCATTCTAAGTTTTAATAATTTTCTGTAAGTATAAGATGGTACCTGCTCACTAAAGAAAACTTGGGAAATAAAAAAAAAAAAAAAGAATTTGAGAACAATAAACTAAGTTCCCTATCACGCACATGCAGTAACCACTATTCTCATTCTGGAGCACTTCCTCTCAGCTTTTCTCCGCGTGCATTTGCGCTTATACTGACTTTCTGCCTGGTTGGCATCGCACCATGTTTTTGTTGTACCCTTACCATGATCTTGTGTTTCTTTGTAACCAAGGCCCTCTCTTGAGCTGCAGAAGGTGGCTTCCAGCTGACTTGGCTTCTAGAAAGCAGAATGCTTTGCTTTCTTTCCCTGGTTCTTCTTTTATAAAGAAGGGTAAGAACTCACCGGCCACTCTGCTATTTTAAAGCTCTGCATCTGAGAAATCCCAAGTGCCAAAGAGAGGCTCAAAGGTAATGGCAAATGGTCTCCCTTTCCTTGACCCGGCCCTGCCTGCCTGAACTGCCGCAGCAAACCTGGGCACCTTGCCCAGCAGCCTCTGCCAGCTGCAAGTCACATGGCAGTGCTCTACCTTCAGCGTGACCCAAGGGATAGCTGCGAGGGGGTGAGCAGGGCCAGAGGGTGGTGGGACAACTCCATGAGGTTGTAGCCTTCTTCATTCCTTCTACAGAGACCCACTGAGCACCTCCTCATGGGCAGCCCTGCACGGGGCGAGGGCCGCAGCAGGGCCTAGTCTGAGAATAGCTAACACCAAGTGTTGTACTCAGGCACCAGCATTGATGTAAGGCTTTGTACACAGGGTGAGAGGCAGGACAACATAAGGGTTAAATCCGTGGCGTCTGGGATCTCTAGAGACAGCAGCGTTCAAATTGTGACTCATGAACAAGTTAGAAGGAGGTTCCGGCTTAATGGATCAAACATGTTTGCTGGTGACTTTAGGCTGCGGAAAACAGGGGCATCTCAGGTTATGTCTGTTCATGGGACTTTATTATAAGATCACCCATTATAAGACTCATCACTTGTTAGCAAGTTAGCCATCCTTTCTGTGCCTTGATTGCCCCAAGGTAAGAGTTCCTACCTCAAAATGCTGCTGTAAGGATGAAGTGAGTTATATGCACAAATGCCTAGGCTGGGGCTGGCAGTCAGTCATGAGCAAATCATTTGATATTTTCTATTTTCTCACTCAATCCTTGCAACAACCCTAGGTGGCAGGGGGCACTGTTACCACCAATTTACACACAAGAAAACTGAGGCACCCAGAGGTCAAGTGGCTCCCTGCCCTCACAGAGTTTACAACTGGGCAGACAGACACAGAACAAGGAATCACAAGTATGGCGAGTATGTGGGAGAAATGAACACAGAGAGACAGGAGAGGCTGTGGCTCTCAAGGGCTTCCTTGAGCTCCAGCCACCATGACCACAGAAGTGTCTGCTCCACCGAA